GCCCTAGGGAGCCCCTCAAACCTCACTGTCTTCTTCCCCAGATGGGCAACACCACGGCCTCCTGCCAGAGACAAATCTGCAGATAATTCTGGCAGCTCCAGACTGCTTTGTTTCAGCTTTTTCCACCAACAGGCAAATTGCCTAAATTAATGTTGAAACTTCAGGTACAATATAGCTAATTCCTGTGAAATGTCTTAGTAAGGTAATTTGCTTCAAGTGCTCCCCCCATTAGAAGCTGGTTAGTGAATAAATAATTTCCAGGCACAAACAACCCTGATGGCACTGAAAAGACTAACAGGACCAGGCAGCAACTTCTTTTGCAATTAGTAATTAAAGCCACAGAGGCTCACGAGGGTCAGAGATGGAGCTACTAAAAACCTGGCTGAAATATTCTCAGGCGAGGTGGTAGGGAACGTGTCCCTCTCTGGCTCAGCAAAGCTTTTGAGGAAGAGCTCACAGAACAATGCAACAACCAAATAAAAATCTGCATTAAAAGGAAAACCCAGCAGTTGCGAAGCTGTGTCCCAGCCTCACTGTTCTTTTTTTTTTTTTTTGCCTCTTTCTGCATTCCCTCGGGTCGGTCAGGCAGAGGGTTGGTCGGGGCGCCTGCTTGCTCTGCTGCAGCCAGGCATTTCTTAGCAAAGGCAAAATAATAGGTTGGCCTTTTTTGTTTTTGTTTGTTTTGCAAAGTCAGGAACTCCATCTTAGCGCTTAAGCCCGTTGTTACGGTTTGTGTTATTCTTGGCACGTTGACCCAAGCGCGCTTGGTATGAATAGCAGAGAGCCGAAAAGTAAATATTGTATCCTCCGGGAGCAGCAGCGAGGGGAGGGTGGTTATATTGCTTAATGGAGCACCCCCAGCGCCTGTTTGGGTTAGGCTTACAGTAATTGCTCCCTAGGTGAGTTTATACCAACAATTGATCATTTCAAATGGGAAAGAAGTACAAATGAGTAAGAGAATAAACACTGACAGCGTTATGAAACACAGGAGAGGAGGGTAAAAATCCCATGCAGCTCAAGTGCGGGACCGAAGGCAAAGTCAGCCAGAAAATAGGAGATACTGTTTGCTCTACATGCAATTTCACACAAATGCTGAAAAATACAAGAAAGGAAATTGAATTTGCTCCTAAAGCTCCAGCTACACAGCTACTTTCCACAGCCTGATCTTCTACATAGAGTTCAAGGAGATGCCTCTGCTAGCCCATCTCCTCCTCTGTCCTGGAGAAACATGGGGCTCTTGGACAGGAGCAGCACTTCACTTTGAGCAAGTAGGTGAGAAGGGAGGGGGCAGGAACCCCACAGGCGTGACAGAGGACCAATGGGCTGAGTAACCTTGGTGTAAAACCCACTATCCCCGTTCCCAGGCCCTGACTGGGGCCACTGCAGCTCTCCGCGGGTGCAATGCCTGCAGCCCACGGGACACGTCCCCTGCAGCCAGCCCGTGCTGGGGGCTGGTCCCCTGCTCCCCACAGCTGTGTCCCCATCACTGGGGGGTCACAGCAGCGTATCCCCACCCACCACTTTCCCATGGCTGCGTTTCACCTGCCGCATCTCCAGGGGTGCTCAAACCAACTCGAAACCAGGCTCTGGAGTCTGTAGAACCCCTCTGCTAGGCAGGGGACCAGCACTGGCCTGAGGACATGGTGCCAGCCCCTAGAGACCAGGAGCTGCCCGTCAGCCCCAGAGTTGCTGCCGTAGGGTCACTGCAGCAAACCCCCTGAGCCTAGGGGCAAACTGGTGCTGCCTAATGCTTTCTGAGCACCTTTTATCATGCTTGTGCTGGAAGTTGCTAGTGCTGGTTGTGATGGCCCCAGGCCAGTGTCACGGGGACCAGAAGGGGATGCTCAGGTTTGACCTGGAGACTGGGAGGGGATACTCAGATTTGATCTCATGCACCTGAAGCAGCATCTGTCCAAAGCTCAAGTGCACATCAGGAAGGTGCCAGAGGGTGAGGAGGGATGGGGATGGAAGGTCTTTCAGATGAAATTCTTCCAGGAATTATCAAAGGAAGGGCATAGGATGGCCCAGCAGTCACCAGCTGGCTGGGCACTGAGCGCAGGAACAGCCTGTGAGGGTGAAGGCTCCCCCGGCAGGCGG